GAGAGTATTTAAAGCAGGATCGATACCATTAAAAGAACAGCTGGGGGCTTCGTCAATACACTGCACCCGTTCTCCTCGCAGAAGAACCCGCGCTCACAGAAGGTGAACAAGACGACAAGCAAAATCACACTCGCATCCCTTTCCACCTTCACTACAAACCGTCTTGAATCTGTGCTCGTGTAATAACAGGTTAGGCTCACGGCTCACGCTGCGCAGGAGGCTCCTGAGCTGAGGTGGATGTTAGATGTGAGGAGGGGAGTGAATGCTTTCGTTGGCTGCTCAGCCATCCTGTCTCCAGCGTTAGTCAGAGCCGAGGGGGCCGCCTTTAAAAGGTGCAGCGGTCTAAAGAACGCACGCAGCCATGAGAAACCCGATCTCGCCGGCCTACCCCACCTCCTCCTCCTACCACCTTCCTGATCTGTGCCACCACGCCACGGGCTCCCGAAGTAACCCGATCCTCTGTAGTGCGCAAATTGAAACACACTCTTCTAGAGCTCCAGGGCAACTCAATCAGGCCGGGAAATGACTGACATCCTAACAGAAGAGGCAAGCTGGGAGAAAAAGTGGTGTTTGTTAAAGTTTTTTTTTGCTTGCGAAATACTTTTTGTTGTTGTTTCAATACTTCTTGATGAGGAGAATACACTTTGGCAGTGGTGTGGCCTTTGCGTGTACAGGCAGAGGTAGTAACAGTAAGTGACGACAATCGTGCAGGTGGGGAAAACGAAGCAGATTCGCGTTTTTACACCCAGCTCAGATTGGTCTGGATAGCAAACAGAAAATTCTCCACTTCATTTATCAAACTGGATAAGACTATATTCATTATTAAATCCTTAACAGGAACATTTACACAAGTAAAAAGTTTTACACAACTGTGAGCTACATAAAAACCAAGTTCGTCCCAAAAAAAAAAAAAAAAAAAAATTTTTTTAAGTACAAGAATCACTAATATGAACCATGATTGATCAGGTTCAAATCATATGACTAACTGTCGTAGATAAACGACAGTATTGCCATCGAGAAGAAAAGAAGGAGGTGTGGCCAGAAAAATGTAACGTGTTACATCATTACAGCGCAAAAAAAATACCGGAAGCTGGTTACAAGCTAGCTGTAGTTGCAACTGCTAGCATTAGCATGTTTTGGCTTAAGTACTCATGAATAAGGTCAGGAATGCTGCAAAACTGAGGTCGGAACTGTACGTAAACGTACCAAGTTATTAGCTTTTACATAAAATTATCAACGCGTGTTTAACACTTCACTACTGATCTGATTCGATTCAGGTCTGATCCAATAAGATACAGTCCGATTAAATTTAACATGCATTGCTGTGTTGCAGGTTTGCCTTTGTTAGGAACAACAACTCATTCAACATTTCTTCGTTGGAATTGGAACTACATTAATAATTTGTACTCTTACAGCTCGGGGATGTACGATTCACTAAAACCCTGACGGCACGGTATTGTGCATCTGGCTTCCAGTGTAGTTATCGTGTCTGAATCTAACATTTTCTGTAACACGACAGAGACACATGTCCTTGCAAATACATTAACTGATTAATTAATGGCTGTTGCTTTGGACCAGGTATGAGTGCGGGATAGCGAGCTCTGATAACTGAAGCTGCTGTTACCTGTTGAGCTGCAGACTCTCCTTCGGTTAACATCATTACCCCGGGTCACCTTTCTAGATGTGTAGCCAGTGAAATTTATTGCAGGGTTGCATGTTTTGCATATAGCAATGCTATATCGTGGCCATCACTCTTTCTGTCTCTCATTTGCACACATGCACACGCACGCACGAGGAAACGTGCATCGATTTTCAATGTCAGTGTCAGTTCGAACCGCTTTCCTTTCCCATTCAAACCAGATCTAGGTTTGTAAATCGATGCAGCCATATTGGAGACTTTGGGTTTTAAAGTTATGGACACAAATGACTGGCAAGAATCCGAGCAATATATGAGCACTAGCAAACAATAAACAAAAGTAAACAAATAAGCACACGTGCAGTGCGATGAAATGGTTTACCTCCAGGACCATATATAAAAAGACAATAGCATGAGTCTGTACAGAGGAATATAAAAGAGTAGATGATGGATATGTCAGTAACAGAAAATACATAAACTAACAGGCTGGTTAGTCTGGGAGGGTCGAATAAAACACACTTTATCAGTGTTCATTTCTTCAACACAAAATAATTCCACTTGGCAGTTAAGGACCATTAGCTTTCAGACATTCCAGGCATGTCTCCATTACAGAGCTCAGGAATTGCGTGCTGGAGGACTATTTTCTCCCAGAGACTGTGTCCTGCCTGTTTTATCGTCTGCTTCAAATGCTGTGCTGAATAGTAACATACCCGAGTAATTCGGTTGTTATTGAGTCAGTTAAGGTTCTCCACCTCACATGGCATGTATTTGGTGGATATGCGACATGCCTCAGAAACGGCGCACCAAATGCGTCTGTCTGCTCGAGAAACACGTCTGTCTGGTGTCTTGGATCTGACATGTTCCATTTCTTTACTGTCACTTTTCATGAAACAAACTCAATAGAGCTGTCATTCATACTTCATGTTTGACACGCTACGTCCTTCCCAACCCTGCATGAACTTTCCAACAGAACAGACCTGTTCTTGGCGTTTAGACATCGCGAATTAACTCCAAGAAATATTCATTATCAATTATAGTTTATGTGGCACAAGATTTGTGTGACCTATATTGCTCGGCTTTTAACATGTTTGATTTCAATTCATGTAATAATCGTATGGGAAATCAGTAGGTCAAAGCACTTCAATATGACACACTACCAAAACGTCTCAAAGATCAGTACAAGTTTGGATCATTTGACAAAAATCGCAGCTTAAAAGATTCAAAATTAGAACTATTTTCTACCGCTCGAGAGAAAAGTGTATTGATCACAGTGATGACAGTGCACTGAATCACAAAAAGTGTCAGAACGGCTGATTAGTTAACCATCTCACATTGTACACAACAAAACTGATGCTTTTCTTGACAAAAAAGGCCCAAGGCTGTAAAGTTTAGTCAATAATAACAAGAAGATAGTTCAGCCAAACAATTAACATATTTAATTGCTTTGAATTTCAATACAAGGTGGATAAAAATATTAGAAATCAAAAGACCAGATCAGAACACAGTTCTGCTTATTCAAAAGCAAACAAATCTTCGTAATGTACACACAAAAATCATAATCA